AAGTAGGCTAATACATTATTATACATATTTCAAAGTTAAGTTCATTATTCATTATTAAAATTCATTATTTTGATATAGCTTGCATTGGAACAAACACTAGAACATCTTAGTTGATTAGTTTATTTTTGACAAAACATACTATATATTTAACATATGAGCAGAAACTGCTAACAAAAGCTTATTTGATGTCTATATTAGAGTAAAAACTTTATAATCTATCCAAAACTAGTCAACGAAATGACTCACATTCATTCACTCACACACAGACACCCGATTCATATTTAAACAATATTAGTAAACAACAGCGCCCATCTGTGTCGTTAATTCATTCACACACAGAAACGTGATTCAAATTTAAACAGTATTTTTGCGTTTACAGACACTATCTATATCGCGATTAGAACAAAGCACAAAAATAAAAAACTTACACAATTCTCAGCTGGATGCTTTGGATAAACCAGCACTTATTCTGAGGTAAATGTCCCAGGATTATTCCTCACAGCCTCGCAAGACGACATAGATAGTACATTAATCTGATTATACTCTATGTGTTTTACCGAGTTTATGTGGGCGTTTACACGTCTCCATGTGTTGCTTCAGATCATTTACGTTTGAATAGCGCGCGCTCTCCGTGGGCGTGTCACATTAGCAGAATAATGAGCTGCGAGAACGATAATGAGAACGGCTGACATCTCTCTCTTTTTATATAGATTACATAAACAGAGAATATTTATTTTAGTTTTGAATTAGATCATTTAAAAGTACACACTTAAATGATTATAAAGATATATTGCTCATGCCTGGGTGAATAGTATTCGCTGAGTTTTGTTTAAATTTAGAGACGTGCTCCAGAAAAGAGTTAACGGAGACAGAGAGGCAGAAACCACACCCTGTTCATTTTCTTTAATTTACAAAAGCACAATGTTTTATTTCGATTGTAAGTAGACACATAAAAAAATAGACATTTAACAGTTTATTTTTTCATATTTCTTAAGTCTGTATGACCAGAAATTATGGAGTATTTTAAGTCAATTTTTCTGCTATGTGAAAAAAATCGAGCTCGTCGCACCGGCGCGATAGCCGACCCCAGGGGGTTAAGCATATTTTTTGCATATGAACAATATTTTTAAAACAAGTTGAGACTTAACTTATGTACTGCTACACTATATGAAGTGAATTGCATGGAAAGTGAGTAATGTTATGCCCCTAGGTGGACTGGGGTCAGGGTGCAACATAGGGTACTTTCATACAAATCAATTAACCAAATGTGAGACTTATTAAATAGAAAACATTTCTTTGGTTCTTAGATCTTTTTGCTGCTTATCCATGCTGTACTTAGACGAATGGTCATGTTAGTGTATTGTATTAGTGTAGAATATAAACTCTCAATCATCATTTTCCTCCTCTTCCTCCTCTTCACCTATATTCGTATGTCAAGTCCTCTTCATTTGTTTCATTTTCTGCCAAGACATCAACAAGGGCTTGGGGGATGACGTCCCCCTCAAACCATAGTGGTTCTAGCTTGCCTGTCTCTGTGTTTATGTGACATCCATTGAAATACGATTGAAATCATAGAAGCGACACGTGAAGTCTTGAACACCGCTGAGAATCTGTTCATCGAGCTCCCAAGAGTTCCCCACTTCAGCAAAGATCTGAATAAACTTTGAATTCTGACTAAGAATCTTCATCGGACCTTCCCTCTGCCTTTGAATGCTGAAGTGCAGTCAGCACCAGTGAACGCATGCAAGGCCAGAAGAGCTGAATGTGTTCCTGTGAATAATCTTCAGCCAGCTGGTTGATGTTGATTAGTCTATCTCCCATGTCAAAGATGATGTTGACAGTTGATGACTTGGCATAATACAGGAGGATCAAGAGACTTTTGCTCTAACTGTTCTGATGTGAGGCATTTTGGTTTGGATATACTGCATGTAAATGATCACCCTCACATCTGTTTCTTCATGTTTTGAACAGATCTCTGGTAGAAGTTCTTTTGACATAACTCCATTGCATTCTATCTTGAAAGCTTGACCAGCCTCTATGAAAATGACAGGCCTTCGGTAAAAACTGTAAAATTGTAATAGCCTTTTAAACCTCTGAGCCACCTTGGCCTCTGAGGGCTCATGATCTCCATGATCCAAATGAGGCTGAAATGGGTTGATAAAACTGTGAAAAGCTTGTACTGTTTGCTGCACTTGCTCCTCAGACCGAGTGATTTCACGTGGTCAGAGATCCGTTGCTTCTCTGTATGTTCGCCTCGGCCACTTGTCATTTCCCACATGGCTTCTACAAACTCTAATTTGGTATGCATGCAGTCAGGAAATTATCAGTAGAATGAGTCTCAGTGTGGCTCAGAGGTTTTACAGGCTGTTACAATTTTCTTGTGAAGACCATGGCTGACCTCTTTGCTCCAATCAGTAATTTCCAACTCATAAACTGAATGCACTGTCCTCTCAAAAGAGAAGTTCATGCGTGATCGACTTCAAACAAAAAAGGTCATTTTTTGAACCCATCAAGAGGAACAGATTCAAGACAATGTCATCTACCACACCTAAAAGGAAGCTTGTGGCATCAAACCAGAAAGTGATCCAGTACAAGGCCACAAGTGGGTTTATCTTTCAGATCTTCATCAAATCACAAGAACTTAAAATCACAAATAAGCATCTCTGACCTAATGACCTATCCCTTGACGCCATACTCCATCTCAACAATCGATTGCTTTTTTTTTTTGGTCAAGCTTTCAAGATAGAATGCAGTGATGAGTTATGTCAAAAGAACTTCTACCAGAGATATGTTCAAAACATGAAGAAACAGATGTGAGGGTGATCATTTACATGCAGTATATCCAAACCAGGAAGAGCAAAGAGCAAAAGACTCTTGATCCTCCTGTATTATGCCAAGTCATCAACTGTCAACATAATATTTGACATGGATTTCACATAAACACAGAGACAGGCAAGCTAGAACCACTATGGTTTGAGGGGGACGTCATCCCCCAAGCCCTTGTTGATGTCTTGGCAGAAAATGAAACAAATGAAGAGGACTTGACTGATGAAATCCATACGAATATAGGTGAAGAGGAGGAAGAGGAGGAAAATGATGATTGAGAGTTTATATTCTACACTAATACAATACACTAACATGACCATTCGTCTAAGTACAGCATGGATAAGCAGCAAAAAGATCTAAGAACCAAAGAAATGTTTTCTATTTTATGCTTTAATAAATCTCACATTTGGTTAATTGATTTTGTATGAATTTTGTATGTTGCACCCTGACCCGTCCACCTGTCCTAGGGGCATAACATTACTCACTTTTCATGCAATTCACTTCGTATAGTATAGCAGTACATAAGTCAAGTCTCAACTCGTTTTAGAAATATTGTTCATATGCAAAAAATATGCTTAAAGGTAAATCGTGTGAAAATTGCGATTTTAACCAAGGAAACGGGGTGTGTGAGCAGGGGTGAGGAGTCGCCAGTCAATGGCGTCATATCCGCGTTAGCCCTGGTTTCCGCCAGGTTTGACCTCGTACTGCAATAGTAACCATGGCGACACACGTTGACAACTGGGTGCCCAGCAGGACGCTCACGCTGTTGTTTTGTTCAAACATTATGGACCATGGCAAGCAGACTTTGAGACAAACATCTTTCGAGATGCCGAGAGCTGCATGTCCGCGACTAACTTCGACGTGACAGAGACGCGAGTGTTGCATGTTCTTTATTAGACAGGTGAGCAAATGTACATGAAACTAATCAATGTTATTTAGTTCAACATGATGAAATGTTAGAATATGATCTGTATGTTATTCTAATGTTGATCTAGCTTACTTAGTCTCATACAAACAACCTAACTAACAACATTCAACACACTCAAATGCCGTTTAGTGTGATAGTGTAACTGTTAGAGCAAGTGAAACAGCGCTGCGTTACCTCAAGTTTCATTCGTTTAATAAACTGACCTGTGTGAGTAGTAATGCAGCACTTGCGTGTAGTCGGTAGAATGTAATGTCCTTATCCTTTATATCCGCGGGACTCGCATTGCGTGTGGCGCTGGTATACGTCTAGCAATCGCGCCCTGCTTCACACAACAGTCATGTTAAAAACATCAATGTATTCACTCATCCATAAAAGATCCATCAGCTTGACGACAAGATCCATAATTTCGCTTAATACGGAATATACGTCATCAATATACGCCTTTGTTATTGTAAGAGGTTAGCGACCCCTGGTGGCGAAAAATCCTGCATATTGTACCTTTAATTCCCTATGGAATGGTAATTCTTGAAAGTTCCATTTTCTCTGATTGGAGGTACAGTGGAGAACTTTGGTTATACCAGCTGCAATCCTCTAGATAGAAAGGTCATCTTGGACTTAAATTGAAGCTTATAAACTTGGGAAGTTTTTCATGTACATTTGGGGCAGTGATGTGTATAATAAAATGCTTGAAAATGGTCACTTGTGATGACAATTTGTCAGGCGGACAGACATTTTTTTGTCTTTTGGGGTATGTTGAGGGTGATATTTGACAGCAAAAAAGCAGCAATCCCCAGAATCTTTTTCTGCTAGTTTACCCTATGTGTCAGGATACACCATGCAAAATTTGGGGGTTATATGACCATTTATGTAGCTGCAGTACCTTAATATTCACAATTACATCATTCCGCCAAAATCTTTCCCCAAAAAGGGTGTTTTTTGGCCCCTGAGACCAAACGGGGCCGAGTTGGGGGTGGTCATTATCAACTTGTGATGGCCCAAGGTATAAAATAATAGGAAATAATAGTGAAAAAAAGGTAGCAAAAAACATCCTGAGGAGTGGACCTGGCTCCCGGCCTATTACCACAATAGGGAAGAAAAAACCCGAATTCCATTTCAAGCCGACTTTAAAACCGTCGACGCCCCTTAAAGTCATTGTATGATTCACAAACTTTGCTGTCTTAGTTTTAGCATTGTTCAGTAAAGTGTAGCCTTTATTTGTTCAGTAAAGACGTAACGTTAGGTGTACCTGAGAATGAGGGGACCGCATTGGGAGGGAGGGATCTCTTGGCACACAGGTCCTGGAGCTCCATTATCGCGCCAGGTGGAATCTCGTAGTAGGAGGACTTCGGTGGACCTGTAGCCAGCCAGCTGTAATCCACACAGGAGCTTCGCCTGCGGCTCTCCGTCGCCCTCTCCTGGCGGAGACGCTCAGCGCGCTTCACCAAAGAGCCCAACTCGAACAGCAGCATCTTAGTTACCAGTTCCTCAGGCGAACGCTGACCGGGAACCTGGGGTTCCTTGGAGAACACTGATAACCAGAGGAACATCTGAAATGGTAAAGAATTTTGAAGTGTAGCTACTATAAACCATAATAAAATAATAAAAGGCACATAATAATAAAATAATAAATAATAATAGAATAATAAAAGGCACATAAAAGACATTTTCCAAAAATTGGTTCAAGAGTTATGGGACTTACCTTCTCCTAGATGTGCAAAAGGTTGGTTATATTCTCACTGGAACTTTCCATCAAATTGGTCTGATTCACTCAGGAGTGCATGGTGAAACCAACAACAGCACATGTCTTAATCACATGGCAGTCAGTTCTGTCCCTCTCAACACCAGATAAAGGGCTAAAGATAATCCCTTATGATAATAATCTACTGTAAAACCACATTTTAGTGGTTCATCACTGGGAAAGGAAAAAACAACTTAGTCTAAGTAAACTGTCCTTCCACACATGTAAACCAATCTGAACACAAACTGTTAACCGGTGGGTCTTAATCATTCTGATGGAATCTGTATGAATAGGATTATTCTTCCTATTACACAACGTAGAATTAGATCCCAATCCTCTGAATAAACACTGCTAAGGCCCCCTGCTGTCCTTTTGTATAGGCGAACAAACAGATATGAAATCAGATTAGCAACATAGAGAAATATAATAGCTTTGCAGCTCTCATTTTTCAGACATGTCTGTAGCATAATTCATCCCATTTTCCTCTTACAGAGGAAACTCAAGTTGTAGAGTATGACATAATACTAATATTTGTCAGAACTCAAACAGAAGAAGCTGGAGATCGAAGTTAAAAATTGATTTAATTTCTTGTTATGATCCTTATACCACTGAACTTCTCACATTTATTCTTTGGCCTCCTGTCTCCCCACTCTTGTTAAAAGCCCTGGGAAATTGCTAGGATTAGATTAATGTGTAATGTAAGAGTTCTTAAGTACTGGTGTTCAGAGAAGAGCTGCCACTCCGCATGTGTCTGTCAGTCTAGGAATGAGGAAAAAGCCAAATCAGCTCATTTTTTCCCCAATGATTTCAAACTTCCTGTCATATCTGAACAAGTCCAGGAATGTGTGCTTTTAATGGATAATAAATGGAGACCTTCTAAATTATTTATGGTTTTAAAAAAGTTTGTTTTACTTTTACTGCTTTGTGTACATTTGTTTATTGAAAATGTGTATTTAGCCATGGTTTTGTTTGCTTGCTCATAAGTCATTTTTAAAACCACAATGAAAATCCTTTTTTTTTTTATGGGACAGAGAACACAACCCATATTCCCTTCTTCATACTCATCTGCTTTTTTTCACACCCACTTCCATCTCTGCAAATTCAGTTCCTGCTAAAATACCCGTCCATTAGATTTCAATCAATTTTGCCGTTTTAAACCAGTGACTCCTCTTCCATCCGTTCTTCTCTGTTAGGCATTATCACATTGCTTTCTACATTACAGTTGCTAGTATGTCCCTTTCATATTTTATCTTTAAATGTTTCAGTGTGGACTTTAATGTGAAAAGGATATCAAAACACATTATTGAGGGAACGGAAACTGATACTGGTAACTTCAACCCAAAGAAAAAAATGCATGGATTGTCCCATATTTCCACAGTTGAAGGAACTTAATCTGAATTAAGAATTTATCTGTCATGAAATCAGTGACAGATCTTATTTGGAAAACTATTTACATGCGATTAATTACTCTGTAATTCAATGGAGTAATATGAATGCTTATTCTCTCATTAGTATTTAATCCAGGATTATATGTAATGTATGTATATTTTTCTATAATAATAATAATTTATAGCCTATCCTAGCAGCATCTCAGGGCGAAGGCTATATTCATTTTAAAATATTTATAATAAAATAATTATAATTAAATATTAAAAATAATTATTATTATTATGGTAACACTTTGAATTGCAATGTTACACATTTTATGAGCAGTACCTCCAAAAATTCATGTTTCTTTCTTTATTATAACTCAGTTTTTCCTAAATTTAAACTTTAGGAAAAACAATGTTACAAACGTACATATTCCTTATATAGAAGTCACTTTAGGTATAAGTGTCTGCCAATTTATAAATATGTAATGTAACTAATGTAAAATGACTTTATTAGAAATGAGGAATTATCAAAAAATAACTTAAACGTTCCCTTATTTATTAAATTATAATCAAATCATTTTTATTTATTCAGTTGTTCAATTATTCACAACCCTTTTAACTTTTTTTTCCACATCATCTTATTATTGTCTCCATAAGACTTAGCAAACAAACACCCCTCCCTTCCTGATCAGTTTTTATATTTATCCCCCAGTATGTTGTCACCATAAATCTGCCATATGCATCTGTTCAGGACGCGGGTCTGATTTATCTCGGCTTGCCTTTGAGTAATAAAAGTCCTCCATTGCTTGTGGAGCCAAGAATTTGAGAAGGTGATCCAGAACCTTTCTCACAAATTACACTGAGGGATCAAAGTGGGTATAAAAGTTTATTTAGAGAGTGCAAAATGAATCAAAGTCTTGGTCAGATGTCATATGAGGTCTATATCTGCTCTAAGAGAAAAATAAGACTTATATGATTGGTATAGAGGTGCACGTTTGCTGTTACACTATTCAGATGTGTTTGGCAAAAATCATTCTCCACTGAGAGAGAAAAAGACAGAGAGGACTTAATGGTCTTTGCTGAAGCATGTTTTTTTTTTTTTGTATCAGAGTCCAAGTCTTGTTAAAATGAGTAAAAGCCAAGTGTATTTCATCTTCAGCGCGGATGGCACCTAGCCCAGCGTAAACAGCACCGCTACATCAGTTAATTGCAAACTTTGTGCTGACAAAGAGACGACTGCACAGGAATTATTCAATCACAACATTCATATTTCTTTTTTATTCAAAACAAAAATATAACCATTGGCCATCCATCAGTGTTTCCCGCTATGAAAGGCTCCAGCATCTATCTATCTATCTATCTATCTATCTATCTATCTATCTATCTATCTATCTATCTATCTATCTATCTATCTATCTATCTATCTATCTATCTATCTATCTATCTATCTATCTATCTATCTATCTATCTATCTATCGAATATAAGGCCATGTCTAAAAACAGTTTAAAGATTGTCGAAATTATGACCGTGGATTTGAATCTCGCATGAGATATTCTGTATTTTGAGAGTTACAGACCGATATAATAAAGTCCACAGCGATATAATAAAGTTGTAGATATTCCAGAGGAACTCGGTGCATCATCACTTTCAGTCGTCATAAAAAACATATGGAGGACTGTCAAATAGAAATAGAAGTAAAGATCAAAGGTAATCATGCATGGTGTTTTGGATGTAACATCACACCCTGAATAACTGACATGGCTAACACAGTTTTTTTATTTACATTTCTTTTTTCAATCGCTAGGACACATTTCTCAATACTTTCCAGAACTTTCCAAGACACAATCACCACCTAAACTCCATATTCCCATAAGCCAATCTGCATGTTTACATACTCTTTTCAAAACTGTTAATCATAAATTCAAAAACTAACATAATACAAAATTGAATAAGACAGCAATTTATTACAAATCTAAAAAATGAAATGCAGCTGAACACACAGATGTTAGTCTTTCATTTTCATCACCATCCATACAAAAGAGGAAAACTTATATAGGGATAATTGTATACTGTTATGTAAACATGGGCTATGTAACATACACCGCAGTGATTTCTAAACGGCAGAGACAGCCCATTCTCATCCCTAGGCGTCATGAAACTGACGCCTTGGGAATCATTTTGACCATGCTTCAATATTCGACGCTTTAGGCACCCTTTAGCGTCAGTTACATGACGCGATCCTAGGGCGTCATCTTGCTGACGCTTTACCTTTAACGTCAGTTAGATGACGCTATCTAATCCTAACCCTACCCCAGACCTAAACCTACCCGCGTCATCTAACTGACGCTTAGGTAAAGCGTCAGTAAGATGACGCCCTAGGATCGCGTCATGTAACTGACGCTAAAGGGTGCCTAAAGCGTCGAATATAGAAGCATGGTCAAAATTGTCATTTTAGTGACGCCTTGGGGTGAGAATGCGTTGGCAGAGAGTGTCATTCTTGTTTTGTAAAGACATTATAATATAAAAACAAATTGTATAATGCTGCCTGTTGTTTGTGTTTTTAGGTCATTGTTTTAGGAGTGATATGGAAGAATGAGTTTAGATTTGTGACATGAAGTGTTTTGTTGTTTTAGTGCTATGCCAACCTGAAGGTTGTTTAGGAGATCTGTGTGAAGAGTTTTGGAAAAAGTGACCTAAGTAAATTGAGAAATGTGTCCTCCTTGCGATTGTAAAAAGATCTGTAAATATCTGTCCACGTTAGAGGTGTAACACAACTACTGTTTTCATCTGCTGAAATCCTCTTGCACCTCCAAAAGGGCTCAGGTAAACCGTCACTCAATGACTTGTGTGAAAGAATCTCTGTCAGCAAATGCATGTGCAGCCATTTAATTATGCGTGTGCCTGACTGTTGAGTGAGCTCCAAATGAGCGCTAATGTTACACTTCAGTCATTACACTATCACTGCCCACAGGGGGATAATCCTTCCCATACTTGTTAACACAGTCTCTGGCTGCTGACGTGACCCTGTAAGTCAAGCTTTTTGGTGTAAATAGGGGTGTTTTGGGCACGAGCCAGCGACGAGAATGCTGAGACTTCTAGCAGAAGCGATGGTGCTGCTTCCTCTTTCCAGCAGCAACATTAGTAGCCTTGTGATGCATCATCATGAATAATAGAGAGTTTTTGATGGATTCCTTATCTGGTTATGTAATGGTGATGGCTGTAGTATATTAATGTTTCACAAACGTAGTGTTTTCCCCTCTGGCTTCGAGCTTTCCTTTTTATCTTAAACAAAAACCTCATTGTTTTCGACTGATGATCTTTACAAACAAAACCATTTAAAGGTGGTGATACACATACAATGCTTCATTGTACCGTGTGACTATCATGAGAAGTGTAACGCCCTCCCTGGCAGGTCTGAGCATGTGGCCGCTGGCATACAGCTCAGAGAACCGTGCAA